CTCCTATTACAGCAGTAAAGTCCTCCTTAAAATTGTTACTTAAATTATACAAGTATTTTCAGGAACTTAAAGTATTAAAATTAAAAGTAGCTCAGAGAGAAGAATGTAAAGTAACTAAAAGTACATTACTTCAATACCATTTGGAAGATAAATGTTGTATTTTTTATTTATTTAATTACTTTGTTTCTATGCAGATTCTGATTATTAAATTGGCAAAAAAAAAAATTAAAAAATACCATTATTAGCTCTAATATATAATAATATAATAATCCTGGCAATTGAAAAACATTACTTAAAGTTAAATAATAATATTTATTTAATAAATATGATGCACTGTTATAGATTAAAGGTCCCACAGACACTTGCAGGTGTTTCCAGGTGTGTTGTTGTTTATATTTACACGAGGTCATCGTGTACGAAGAATAACTTATTAACTACAAATAATTAATAATTATCTTGTGCGCATAAGATTAAAATATACTTTAAAGTAATTACTGCCTGTGAGATATACTGTTATATATTATATAATTAACATTTATTATAATAGTTTTCTCTTGTTAGGTGCGTTGAGGTGGAGTAATTTATTTTTATGTTATATAGATTATTTATGTTATTGATTAATCTGCTGATTATTCTCTTGATTTTGTTTTGGTTTTTAAACACAAATGACCGAAATCTCAAAATATGTCGATTTAAAGACGAAAAAAACGTCAAAACTATAAAATATTTTACATTTTACATGAAAAATTGCTTAAATAATTATTATGTTTTTAAAACAGTATTGATTTTTTTGGTTATTGACGAATCAACGAATTGATTAACTGACTTGATAAATAGATTAAAAGTCAAAAACAGACATCAAATCATTTAAACTCAAATTATTTATCCTGTTTTACTTCACACTTAAAATCTTTTGTTCATAAAATCTTTATTTGTAATTAAACTAGTAACTAAGGAGTAAAAAGTGATATATTTCTTTATAAATGCAGTAACTTGAGTCAGATTTAGTTCCTGTTTGTTTAAATACAGTTGATGACAACAGATGGGGAATGTGTGTCTGACTCAGCAGGAACATGTTTCTCCTTTTTCACTCCAGTTATATTCGTCCAATGTGTGATTAGTTTTCCAATTAGTCATCAAAATATGACAAAGATTCAAGAAACCTTTTTCCATAAAACAGTCAGACAACACCACAAAAGCAACTATATATAAACACAGTGACTACACAGTACAACATATCAGTGTTAGAGTACTATAAAATATTAAGATTAGTATATTAGTGACCAAAAAAGTCAAAACAGCCTGTTTAACTAAAAATATTAAATCTGAAATGTGACAAGAAGCCTCAAACAGACTGTTTTGTGAAGAGAAATAAGTATAAAAGGTCTAATCTTTAACAGTGTTTTATATTCTATATCATAAATATATTATAAATGTAGTAGAGTGGAGGTATAAAATAGTATAAAATGGAAATGCTGGAGTACTCCAGAGTTAAACTGAGATCATAACTGACACACTGTCTGAATAATGTTTTAAATCAGGATCACAGCTCAAGTTTATATGTACGTTTCTCGTGACGGTGACTGAGCCGCGGTGAACGCAGTCACCGGTTCACTGATTAACTTTGTCTCATGAGCGCGATAAAGTGGATGTTTGTGTCAGTTTACGTGATCTTCACATGGATAACGTCACTTCTACAGCGAGTGATAAAATCCTTTAATATGGAAAGTGTGGAGAGGACGGGACGGGGTCAACCACAAGTATCATAAAGTACTTGTTATATATACCTATTGATTCAAGGTTCAGAGGTTTTAGTTATCCACACTTGCTATAAAGGCGGTGTTCAATAGAATAAGAGTGAAAATCTGAGTTTAACAAAGAATACGAGGAGAAAAACGATAAGAATATTCACGTCTGAGAAGCTGGAAACAAAGAATTTCCTGTAATTTTTACTTAAAAATGACTAAAACTTATAGAAATTATTCAATTATTTAGATTTCAAGTGAATTAAATTCAACTTTATTGTCATTGCACAGTACAAGACAACAGAATGGAGTTTAGAGTTTAACCACAAGTACAGTAATATACATATATAAATATAGATTTAATAAATAGAATGAACAATAAGGGGCAGATATTTATCCTAGACAATTAAATACAACATGTGCAGCAGTTACTAAAGAATAACCGTATAGATCAGTATGTATAAATAAATATAGTGAGATATACAGTGGCGGAACAGCATGTTATGGGAAGATTAATGGCAGTCTATTGACTAACTGATGAATCGTTGCAGCTTTAAATATATAATATTAAGTATTGAAATGCTAAATTCTTCCACTTTATAAAAATGTAAATATGTCACAGCTGTAAAACAAAACTATACAATAAACCGAAGGTAAATGTGGAGACCGTATAGTATTTTAATGAATCGTCCAGAGAGTCTATATTAATGTAAATGACTCTTTTTACAGATTATTATTATAATTATTAGTATTCTATAGACTCTCCTGCTCTCTCTCTTATATCAGGGATATAAATAATCGGAGACGGGATCAGAGTTCTTCGAGCACAATCGAGCTTTTCTCTCCGTGCAGACGGTGACAAATTAAAGGACAAACGTAGATAAACCAGAGGAGCAACAGAACGAATGCTGATGTTTCCACACGAAGGGTCACCGAGTGAATCATGTTCATCCTCTGAGGAACATCCAGAGGTTATCATTAAAATGTACTTAAAGTATTAAATTAAAAGTACTCTAGTGCAGTTAAATGTTCCCAGTCAGTGTTTAACTATTACATATGGTGTTTACATATCAATATTACTGATGAATGAATGCATTTTACTGCTGTAGAAGTCGTTTAATCGACAGCAATGCATCATATTCTATAAGCTCATCAAATGTTTGTCCTCTGAGAACCACGTATATCTCTAAAAAGTCAAAACAGCCTGTTTTCAGGTTGTTACGATGCTTTTTCCAGATAATCCAAGAAGGTTTTTAAATAGTTTATTTAATGTAAGATGTAGGACAATTTACTCAACACATAAAGGAACATTTCATCCTGCTGTCAGATAAATGTAGTGGATGAAAAAATACATTATTTGCCTCCGAGATGTGGTGGAGTAAAAGTATAAAACTGCATAAAATGATACAATGGAAATCCTCAAGTAAATTACTTTAAATTTGTTCTTAAGTATTTAGTTAATGTACTTAAATTCCACCACTGTGACTGTCAATCCATCAGTTACTAAGAGGATGTCACTATAACGTGGCCATACATGTATAATATAATGCATAATAATGTATAATAATGTATAATAATGTTCTTGTCCAGGAGCTGGAGCTGGTGGAGGACGTCTGGAGAGGAGAAGCTCAGGACCTGCTCACTCAGATTGCTCAGTTGCAGGAGGAGAACAAAAGCCTCCTGACCAACATGTCCATCAAAGACCCCATGAGTGAGGAGGACCTGCAGAGGCATGAGGGTAAGGACGTTTGCTCAAAACACACACACACACACACACACAGCGGGGGGGGGGTTCGTTCAATTTATAGGCTGGAAATTATAACGTGTGATAAATCGTTTGAGGAAATATCAGAGACTTCAATTAGTACAAATTAGTTGTTTTGGGGCCACAGTGGGGGTTTTTGAGGGGAAGCATGTTTCATAAATATCCTATAATATGGAAAGTTGTTGTTGTTAAAGGAATACTTTGATATTTTGGGTAATATTCTTCAGATAATTAGTAATTTCAGTCATTTTTAAGCAACAAAACCTCCAAACTTTCTCTTGTTTAAGCTTCTACAATGTGAGGATTTGCTAATTTTCTTTGTTTTTTGGTTTTTGGACTGTTAATCAGGCAAAACAAGACATTTAAAGAGTCTCTTTCGGTTCTGGGAAACACTGCTGGGCATTTTGTCATTATTTTCTCATGTTTTAATAACCAATAACAGAACGATTAATCAATCAGCAGATTAATCGATAGTGAAAATAACTGTTAGTTGCAGCCCTGATATACGTATCCTCCTTTCTTGCCCAGAGTAAGGTGAGAAGATTGATACCAGTTTTCATGTCTGTGTGGTAAATATCAACCTAGAGCCAGCGGGCGGTTAGCTTAGCTTAGCATAAAGACTGGAAACAGGTGGAAACTGCTAGCCTGGCTCCCTCTGAAGGTAAGAAAATCCGCCTACACACACCTCTAAAGCTCATTAATTAACACCTTATATCTCTGGGGTGTTCAGAAAACCTTCACTGAAACTCGCTGTCTCTCTCTCTCTCTGTGTCTGTTATGCACACACACACACACACACACACACACACATACACACACAAAGGAAGCCTTCTCTTTGTGTCTGACGGCGAGCCAGTCTTGTTTCTGCCTCAGAGGCTCTCTCGTGGTTTCACCACAGGCCACAGTCACCCTGACACACTGTGGACAGACCAGCCTCAGTGTACAAGCACACTGCCCTCTCTCTCTCTCTCTCACACACACACGACACACACACACACACACACAGGGTTCCCTCTGTACAACGCTGACCTTCCTCTCCCAATAAAAACAGATCATAAAGAATGCAAACTGATTAAAATCTACTGTTTGTGTTTTGTTCTGTGCGTTCCCTCCCTTCGCTGTCTCCCCTCCGCGGTCTCCAGGTATGACGGAGAGAGAGAGGCAGGTGATGAAGAAGCTCAAAGAAGTGGTGGACAAGCAGAGGGACGAGATTCGAGCCAAGGACCGAGAGCTCACACTGAAAAGCGAGGACATAGAAGCAGTAAGGCGACAGACTCACAGGCTGTTTCTGCTCTGATACGTATTCTCCCACTGGTTATCTAGTTATCTCATGTAGCTGTATCTGCATGTAGGAGGTGCAACGATGATTATTTAGGCAAAAAAATAATAATTCTCTGGTTCCAAGTGTGAATATTTGCTGTTTATCTTTGTAATTTATGACAGTAAATTGAATATCTTTAGGTTGTGGACTGACAAAACGAGTTTGAGCCAATTGAAGCTAATTTGAATGATTTGGGTGATTTTCGAATGGCTTTTTTATCAATATTATTACAAAAGGTACAAAATGCTGAATAATGATACTAATAAAAACAAAATATCCAAAAATCATCCTGAACTAACAACAAAAACAAAAGCTCTACCCCTTTTTTTTAAACATTTCATAGACTAAACATTTAATCGAGAAATGAATCAGTAATTAGTTATCAAAATAATAATGAATTTGGTTTGTTAGAGAAGAGCAGCAACATTATTCAGTCAGCAGCAGACCTGAACCGGTGCTTTTCACAGCCTCATGTTATTTTTAGCTGCAGTAGATCGCAGGAGAAACATCTTCAGTCAAGTTAACTGTATTTCCTGCAGACAAACAACTAACATTCACAGGAAAAACACGAGTGGAACTAATAACGTTAACAGTGGCTGTAATTCATTCAGGTGTGACAGTTCCAGGTTTCTGATAAGGTGCAGGTCAGGTCACTGTCACTGCGACTACGACGCTGTCGTACTGGGACCCTGGGACACGGGTTATGTTGTGTTAATGTTAATAAAGTAATTATTGTACTTATTGTACACATCAAAGTATGTTTGCAGGCCTTCTGCTGCAGGCCAGAATTAAAACTTTAGAATAGATTTATTTCGATCAGCAAACATTTGAAACGAATTCTCAATAAACAACATAAAAAATTATAATTAAATAAATATTAAATGTCCAAAAAGGAGGACAAAGAAGTAAAATACTTACCTGGTCTGACCCCTTTTTCTTTAATCAATTAACTCTCATCATTAATATTCAATCTGTCCACCCCAGTGTCCATCATACACAACTTAAAGCTACTACATGGAGTTTTTAACTGGTTATAAGTCTTAAATTTAATATTGGTGACTGTGTATGACCTACATAATCAAACAAGACCATTAACAAGAAGATTGGCTATTTCTATATAGTTATTCTTAATGTCTAAACCAGTGAAACAAGGCGGCGGGAACAGGGGCCACAGGGGCCGCCAGACAAAATGCAGCTTTAAAATAGTTGATTAATTAGAGTTTTTCAGCTGTTTTCTGATCCTCTTACACTCTATAATATATGTGTATATTATTTTGTGTTTGTGCAGCTCCAGCAGCAGCAGTCTCGCCTTATGAAAATCAACCACGACCTGCGGCATAAGATCTCCGTGGTGGAGGCGCAGGGGAAAGCGCTGATCGAGCAGAAGGTGGAACTGGAGGCCAGCGCTCAGGCGCGGGGGCAGGAAGTCACGGCCCTCCGGCAGGAAGTGACGCGCTTGAGGGAGCGACTTCAAGGAGACCTGCCCGCCCAGAACCCAGAGGAACCCCCACCTAACCCCCCCTCACCTGCAGAGGTAACACGAAAACAAGAGCTACATGTGAGGGTGTGGCCAAAATGTTATATTTAAATGAGCTTTATTGTCTTACGTTGTGCAAGAAACCCCATAAAAATCAGTTTTTAATATTTATTTGTTTTATCTTTAATGGCATCCTGTTAGCTCAGTATAAGCAGAGTGCATTGTGGGTTTAAAATCTGGTCTATTTCCCCTCTTTCTCTCTCAATCTTGCTTTATTGTATCTTATCTAAAAAGGCAAAACAAAGTCTTTAAAAAAGGAAATTTGCTTGTTCGCTTTCTTGCCGAGAGTCTGATCGACAGTATGAAACTACAGCCAGGAGACGGTTAGCTGAGCATAAAGACTGGAGGGAGAAACATGTCCAAACATGAAATTATTTATCTTTTATAGGCTCATTCTTCTACCTTTGGGCAAAGCCAGGCTAGCAGTTTCCCCCCGTTTCCAGTCTTTATGCTAAGCTAAGCTAATCCGATTTACCATAAGTTTGAAATACTTTAATAATCTTTATAAACGCAGCTACACAATCGCTTCAGTTGCAGGTGTATAAATCAATAATACCCAACGTCTGACAGCAGATATTAACTAGGACTGCTTTATAAACGGGTAATAAAGTGTGTTTTACTCCCACCAGCGTGGTAAAGCTGCTACAGTTGTGGTGGGGGCTGAGTGCTGGTCAGACACACCTGACCCCTCTGAGCTGATGCTGGGTGGGTTTGACCCTCCCCCGCCACCCCAGCCTGGTTCCCTCAGCCCAGAGGGACACGAGGATGGGGATGAGGAGGCTGAGGACGAGGCAGTGTTGCTCTGGGTAATACAGAAGTGCTAGTTAGAAAAACCAGAGTGGTGTGATTGTCCCGACTCTAACTCCAAAACCTGCACCCTCCCCCCCCTCCCAGAAGGACAACCATATCGGTAGCAACGACACACAAAGCTAGTGGACTAACACTTGCGTGACCCATGAGAAGTGCTGATTTGGCTTGGCATGGGTGTTCAAGAACTAACAGAGTGTCAGTCGGATTTGTCGCTCCAACTGGGTGAGACTTTCTGGATGACTGCACCGATGACCTTTTCTAAATATAGTTCAGTTCCACAGCTCAGCCTCTAACAGCACTTGAAGTTGTCCTTTAATGCACCGTGATCCTGAAACACTCACAATAGAAAATGGTTTGTTTTAAAGTCCAACTGAAATGAAAATTGTAGTTTATTTTCTGCTACAGAATCATTTTCTGCTCTGGAAATCACACAATCCTGTGTTCTTCTGTGAGGAAATATGGAAAACATGATGAAAATATGGCGTTTACTAGTATGTTTGTATGTCGCATTTCTGTTTTCATCAATACACCAACTTTTACCTCAACAGAGTGTAAAAACATTTCAAATTTTCAGTATTCCCACTCTAAATTTTGGGATCTAATTCAGTTTTTATTGGGATTTTTGCAGGGATATACTACACTTATATCACTGACAAATACAACTGCCTTCTAAAATGTGCCATAAAGAAACAAAAACAGTATTTTCATAAAGAAGTGAGACCTGGGCACTGACCCCACTGGACCCGGAAACAGTAACATACACATACATAACAGTAGGCATGTTAAAAACAACAGAAACACATGCTGATACGAAACAAAACTAATCAAACGAAGAAACCACAACGTACCAAACCTTATCCCTCCAGAATTAATTATTTCGGAACATCTGACAACTTACTATTCTACCTTGGAGAGAGAGTCTTATTTCCTCCAGCTTAAGAAAGTAAAACACGTCTAAAAGTCGCCTTCTTATCTAACGTAAAAACATGAACTAGTTTTGTCGATCGAGCCACCAAACAAACGTTGCCGGGGGGAAAAGAGCACTGCTAACGTATCTGCAAATATCACTTGGGTCTAGTTAGACGTTGGTGTGGTTCTTTACTCTTTAAAACCACCAACAGCATGCAGTCTGCCGCTGACATGAAGCCACAGAGCAGGTTTAGTTGTAGTCACTCGCTCCCCTGCTGGAGCTCAGCCTGCCAGTAGTGCCATATATTATATATGAGATATTCCCTCAAAGAACTTCTTGTCTTCCTTTTTAAAGAGTTGACAATAAATTCAATAAAGTTACATTATTTTTAACAGCAAAAAGAGATGATTAATGTGATTTCAGTTGGACTTTAACGTTGTTTGTAGGATACATATTAATTATGGTCTGTTTTTTTGCTCAGCTGCATGTGTTGTCGACGTCTTTCAGGTGTTTTTTCTTTTACCTGACAGTGAATGGCTTTGGTTGTGTGCTGAGTGAAAAAATAAAGTAGAGTTTGTAGCTTAAAGGGAGGAGGGAAGGGCGAACAAATGTATTGGAACAAAGCCCCGATGTCTGACTTAGAGTTCACCGTTTGCCACCAGGAGGCGATGTGCGATGAGGACATGCCTGCTGTGTTCCAATATTTTACCAAGGTATCCTCACTTCCTTCCCCGCCTTCCTTCCTTCCTTCCTTCCTTCCTGCTTTCCTTCCTTCCTTCTCTCCGGTTTTGTTTCCTCTCTGTGATGCATTCGTCTCTCGGCAGGAGGCGTTGTGCGAGGAGGAGGCGGGAGGCCTGGACCTAAAGGACCCCAACCGGCCCCGGTTCACCCTGCAAGAGCTGAGGGACGTCCTCCACGAGAGGAACGAGCTCAAGGCCAAAGTCTTCCTGCTGCAGGAGGAGCTGGCGTACTACAAAAGGTGCTCGGGGGGGCGCACACGCTTCAATCTGAGGAGATACGTTCTCATAACGGCGTCATCACGGATACGTTTATAATTTACGATTGTCTGTTTTTGCAGTGATGAGACAGAAGACGAGATTGTTACTCCCAGTCCTTCTCCCTCGCCTGAACTGAGGTCTCGCTCCCGTTCTTCTGCCCAGCCGGAGTCAGGAATCAAACGCCTGTATGTGCCCGGCGAACACACTCACTCACATACATCTGCTCATGAAAAGCCCCGCTAAACCCCCCCATCCACTCTGAGATTAAAGTCAGGAAAACACTCAATCAGACTGCTTTGCATGGCGAATGGCACGCTCAATCATTTACATAGCACTCCTCAAGAAACATGCAAATCAAATCTTGGCTCAAGCTCAATAGGTGACGTCTCTTCGCCAGCAGAACCACACACACACACACACTAGTTCAGGCTGGTAACTCGCTCTGTGTCTGGGTGTCCATTTTGAGACGTAGTTGTAGTGAATGACTTCATATTGAGTTATTAACAACGTGAAAACAGCGCAGTAAAATGTAAGAGAAACACAGTAGCAGCAGTTGTGTTTCAGGCTGTATCCACTAAAAGAAAAAGAAAAAACCTTCAGCGATTATAACTGGAAACAGCTCGTGCATACGCCCGCTTCCTGTGTTTGTTTGGCCTGTAGGAACAAAGCGAAAGATAACACAACAGCCAACTGAATATGTCACATTCTTCTGTTTCAGCATGCTGCTCTCTGGCCGTGATGATCATGTCTTTAAAACACAACCTGTTGATTTTAAACAATATGTTTGTTGAGATTTTCCTTTGTTTTCTCCTCCACAACGAAATATACAAATAGGTACAACTGAAGATATCTTCACCGCTCTGGTTACAGGTCCTACTATTGAATCTGTACAATCAGTCAATACATATACCATTGGACCCAATCCCCCGCCCCCCAAAAAGTCCAAAATAGACGACAAAAATTATAATTTTATTGCCTTTTAATTAAATTAAAAGACAGTAAAATTATAACAATTCACAGTTTCGAAGTAGAAGAGATGGATAGAAATATTAACTCTGACCATGGACATCACAATTTAGAGAATATCTATTCTGTAAAAAGGTTTATCAAAAACTAGTTCCTGAGATTAAACATAATCTTTTATGAGAAAAGTTCTTAAAGCCACAAAAATCCTCACTTTTCCAGCGAATAGCTGAATATTTATTAGCTGCAGTTAGAGCTGAAGTGAAGGCAGCCCTGATGTAATCATGTTAAAATGCTTTTTTGTGCCATCATTGGAGCTTTTATTGTGGAAAGTGATTAGCGAATGGGGGTAAACTCCCGATAAGAAGCTTTATTTGTTAACTGACATTGTGACGTTCTGCTCTGATTAATTACTGCAGAGCGTCGGATCTAATCTCGTTACAAACGTAGTTACTGGATGGTTTTAAACAGTCGGCCCACTTATTAAAGGACCATTGTGTTGGGTTCAGTGGCATCTAGTGGTGAAGCTACAGACTGACCTGTAGAACAGCTAATTTTAAGGTAACAAAAACACAATTATTCTTATATTCAGGTCATCTTCATACAACTTCTTTTGTCTGACAATCAGTGGAAGTCTGGAAGATATTTAATTTACATTTTTTGAGGATATAAAAGCAGGAAGCAGCAAATGTTTGGTATTTAAATTATTATTATAGATTAATCAATTATCAGTGTAGTCTCAAATGACTGTAATATATCAGTCAAAGGTGAAGCATTTTATTGTACATTTTTTAGCAAAAAGTAGTCATGAGGGCACTTTTTTTTTAAATTTTACATGTGTAAATATAGTGCAGTATAAGAGCTTTAAATAGGGAGTGAACAGGGAAGTTCAGTGCTGACCTTGAGATCAGAGCATGTGACATAACAATCACATGATCGCTCACCTGATAGAGAGAAGAAGAGAGAGGTTTTAGGATGCAGCTCCGGTCACGTCTAATAACTCTTTACGAGGTCGTGCTTAACAAATATCTGTGTGTGTGTGTGTGTGTGTGTGTGTGTGTGCGAGCTGAAGACACTTTGCTTGCCCTGCAGACGCGCAGTTAATGGTTAGCATGTTCGGGGAGAAAGAGAGAGAGGAGTGTTTAACAAAGGCATGACTTCATTTGGTTTTTGAGTTGTAACGGTAACTTTACATTTACATTTGGGTCAAACAGAGGTTGATGTGGTCCCTGTCTCCCCCCCTGTCCGCCCTCCCTTCCCTCCCCTCTCTCTATATCTCTTCCTGTTTGTGCTTGTGTGTCTTTACCCTCTGTGTAACAGGATCTTCACAGCCATTATGCCGATGGTGGCGGCTGGTTTGATCCCAGATGACCCCACTTTACAGCCAATCAGACGTCTCGTATCACTTGTATGACTCTATATTTGGTTGGCTTCAGAGTCTGTCACTTCCTCAGCTAACAGCTTCCCATCCCTCTTGCATGTGCCGGGTTGCTTTTCGAGCCTCTTGTTCCCCCTTTGTAGTATTCGGATTGGCTGATTGTGGGGCTATGTTACTCTCACTGTCCAGCGGGGTCGATGGTGGATCATCAAGAATCAGCCAGTCAGAATATGAACGTGTTGTCTGTTGTCGTCTCGTCTTCCCCCCCTCTCACTCACCACAGTAACAACTCGCTCACGTCTGTGCTCTAAACTCATTAAAATCATTTACAAACTAAAGCGCTTTTAGCTCTAGTTAGTGATTAAAGTTTGTAATAAACAGTGAAATCAACTCATGTTTCTTCTGACAGCAGCTGCACTGACCAGTGAACATAATAGAGCCCGACTGATATGGGATTTTAAAGCCGATACGGATACTGATTACCAATACGGCGCCCAGTATAGTGTGTTTTTGAGCTGGAATGGAAATATGTGGATTATACAGGGGTGGATCTGGAGTTCTACCCCAGTTTGGGGTCAGATTGAACACAAGCATTTAGATTCATTTAAAAAATAACATTAAAATAAATTTTTAGCCTTAAATTCAGTGTAAAAATGTAAAAATGTAACATATTTTGAAAAAAAAGCCACAAAAATGTCATGTTTTTGAGTTAAAATGTCTTCATTTGGTTTTTTTTTTTAAAGCAAATATTGATATGTGATTGTTTGTGATTAACATCAGTATATATTTCTGCCACCCAATGAATTTTGTGCACCAGTATGACTCCACAAAGGTCCTCAGAAGACTGTTTTCTTACACAATTAACTTCATCAAACAATATTTAAGTTAAATATTCTTTAATAATTTAACATTATCAACCAGTTGTAGCTGACGTTGCAGAGAGCTGCTTCTTCTCTCTCACTCTGTGCTGCTTGCCACAGTAATGTAACCCACAGTGCACTCTGCTGGATAAACATTACCACAAGCATTTTATCTGCTTATATAGTGGGAAAAAACATCATATTTTCTATATATATATATCTTATTTTCAGCACATATCAGATAACATATACACTGATACAATGACTGTCTGTAATAGGCCAATATGGACAGACATGTTGGTATATTGGCGGGCTCTATTACATGAGTTCATTCCAGTTATAATCTTTTGAATGTTTGTGTTCTGCATTAATACCCAAACAAACTAGTAAAACATAACTTGACTTATGCTAATGTAAAGGTGCTCTATGTAGCATTTTGCATTAAATGTGATACAGTAGTATAATTTCAGTAAACATTAATACGAATGATGAATGAGAAGATAATGGATCCATAGCATCGGGCACTATGACACTTCTTCACTTCTACTGGGATATTCTTACTTACATATGCTGTCGTAAGCCTACACAGCATTAAAAAACGAAAAGAAAAACAACATTTTTAATCATTTTCATTCAAAAAAATCCCCCAAAATGCATCATAATTGTTTTGAAAAACTTAAAATTAGCCTGTGAAGTCCTGGAGGGGCTAGTTTACAGTAATCAAACAACGTAATCACAATTAATTTACCAAAATTAACAGTTTTAATGTACTGATGCTGTTAAATTACTGTTAACACTCTAATGCTGCTTTACAAATGCACACACTACACACATGTAACTGTAAACCACCGTCACCTGACACCTCACTGACACACTCATTAACTGGACATCCATTAAAGGTGTTTCCCCTCTCTCTACCTCCTCTCTCTCTCTCCTCTCAGGTTTAGTTTCTTCTCTCGCGACAAGCAGCGGGGCTCGCAGAGGAGCGCGCAGTTCGACGCCGACCTCGGCTCGTGGGCGGGGAAGGATGACGTGTACACGGAACAAGCACAGGAGGCGCTACAGCACATGTAGTCATTGGAGAGGACTTGTCGAGGTTACTCAAAACTCCCCAAAAAAACTCTTTAACACTCCCCATGTCCATCACTCAAGGCCGGCTTGTGAAGCGTTGGACTGCGCCACCAAAACCACCACTAGTGACTCACGCTGCAGCTGAAACATCGTGTGCTTGAAGGTGAGAAGAGCCCAGCAGAAAGAGGAGTGAACGGATCAACATTGAAGTGAGGCTCCAGCTTTAGGTAAAGATAATACGTTTATTTAAACACCTGAGAATCATACAGTGTATCTCAGAGAGTGATGGCACATACAGACTGAAAATATTTGGTGCCTGAAAGTTTTTTTTTACGTGATTTATGGAATCTGTAGAGGAGAGGGTGAACTCCAAGTTGAAGGATGGAAAGTGGAAAGTTGATGCAAAACCAAGTGGATAACGGTATGTTGGACCAGAGTGGGTGAAAAGTACGGCACCTGACGAAGGCTTGGGACGCAAAAGTGTGCAAACTGCGTACAAAATGATAAAAGATGAAGGTTTTATCTTACGATTCCCCTTAGAAACAAAATGCAAACCTACAAAGAAAACACACTTCACTGCAGTTTTCACACGTTTCGATCTTGAGAATAAAAAGCGACACTTTTTTGTGTCCTCCCGTTAATTTATTTAAAATTTATGTCATGTGGGCCATCACCAGCATTGTGCAAACACTACACAGCTCTAAAAGATCTAAAGAAAACGAGGCTCGGGTATAAAATGATGCCTAGAAGCACAAGTTAAAAGCTGTACACGGAAAAAGAGAAACACTTAACACTAACACTTAGAAATGCTTTTATTTATAATGTACGTCATGCAATATAAAGAGTGTATGGAAGCTCATTTCTGCCAAGATAATTCATAAAGGGAGAGACTTAATAAAAATAAAATCCTCACTTTAAGCCAAAATGATGAGATACTGAGTCAAACTTTAGATTTTATTGTAAATAATAGTAATTCAAATACTTAATTTTAATTTTCACTTAGTAAGTCTGAATCATTTTTAACTTATTAACACATAATCTTTACTTGTCGAGTCAAAATTATGAGAAAATATGTGATCATATTGATTTTTAATAATAATAGGTTTAGGCTAACTCGTAGTTTTGATTTAATGTCTCATAATTTTTTATATTTTTAATTTATCATGCAGAAATTGGCTTCCATGAGTAAGTGAACACTAATAGATGCAGTATTTGAACTCTGAACAGTGCCAAAGCCGCCACTGCACATCATGGGTAAAGTAATAAAACAATAACAGCAATTTCAGTATCACCAGCTGATCCAAAGCAATAAAATAAATGATATATAACAGTTAACACAGCTGCAGTTTATTAAAAGAAAGCTTGATTTTATCTATTTTATTAACTCCAGAAACCAGCTCCAGCTTTTTAATACAGCTGAAACACATTGATTTTACTTAGAGATAAGACTCATTTAAACCTTTAAGATCATGTTTAAAGGATAAATCTGTTGATATTCTGTATAGCGCTGACACAATATCAGATTTTAACTACACGATTATCCATCATGGCCATTTGAATTGTGTGTTTGGTCTCTTTTTTTTAGCAAATTACTGACACTCAACTAGATTATTCACACAATATCAATATTTCACTTTAATTATCACAATTTTCATCAATATCTTGTGACACATCTAATTCCATATATTTTTAATAATGTCAACAAATCCTGATAGATCTTATTAGAGCTCCATTGTTGTTAAAAACCACACTGTTGCACTGGTCACGAACACACACACACACACACACACAGACACACACACACACTGTAGTTTATTAATACACTGTCCTGCTGCCCCAGATACTCACTAGAGCAACAAATGTGGATTAATCTGCCGCTGAAAATAGTCCCACAACAAATGCACAGTTTCCTCCTGGTGGGTGGGTCACAATAAATAAAATGTAGAATAAATAAGTAAAGCTTTATTTATATAGCACCTTTTTGACCCAGAGATCCAAAGTGCTTTACAAACAACAAATAAACAGGGCATAACCATACCCAATCAAACAAGAGGGAAAGAATAAATGACAAGAGAGATGACAGATGAGGAAACAAACAAGGAGATATATAAAAAGACTTGTAGAGGTGGGTTTTCAGTAAGAATAAATAAGCTTTTATTTATTTATTTCTGGGGAATACACTGAGGGGTGAACCATCATTTAGATTACATTAGGCTACAAACACACAGATACAACTTAAACATTATAAAAATAAAGAAGACAGACAATAAGGACACAAACATCAACATTAGTTAAAAAAACTGATTCCTAATCAAAACAGTAAGATGTAAAATCATTATGATTCATAAGCATATTTCATAGTGTTATCAGGGAATCAATATTTAAAGTTTATTCCACGAGTCCGCAGCAGACAGTCTAAAAGCGGTCCGTCTGAGTTCTGAGTCAACTCTGGTTGAGGTCCAACAGTGAGCTGATGTAAGTTGGTAAATCTGGCCCATGAATCACTGAGCCAGAACTTATTTTTCCTAATAAAAGTGTTTTTTTTATACTTTAAAAAAGCACTTTTTGTAGTAAAGAAAGAAAAACTGAACTAAAGCGTAAAAACGTTTCATTAAGGAAGGAAACACTAACCTTTATCAGGTGTCACTACCTTATTCTAGAGGTCCCTGAACAAAAGATGCACTTTAGACCACAAACCCACAATTCGAGTGTTTTTGTCTAAAGAAAATCCTTTCTGAGTAACTTTTTAGTAATTATTAGGTGTGAAGATAAAGTCTCCATAGCCAATCGATGATCAAACTAGGATGGATTACAATCAATTAATCCCCAAATATCAAACCTTTAGCACACATCATGTAGAAAATACACACACTGACTTGTGCTTTTATGCATCATTAATAAAAGGCCTCAGATCTTCGTCGTCTCACTGCACAGAAGAAGAAAGACGACATTTTATTTGGCGTAAAAAAAACCCCGAAGCTGCTGAGAAGTTTTAAGTCCAGTCTGGTTTCTAGAACGATGAAAAACGAGGTGAATAAAGTGTCGAGTGCGGTTTACATTTAAGAAAAAAAACACCAATAAAAAAATGCTAATTGGTCGTCGCTGCTTCTGCTTCTCCAGCTTGAACTTCCTGCTTAACACCGACTGACGTCTTCACCCCTGAGAGGGAGAGACCGGGTGTGTTTTCTAACAGTAGTGCCACTTTATCTTCATTTATACTTGACCTCCCCCCCCAGCGAGGTGGAATAAATGAATGTTAAAACGAAGAGAGTGGCAATAACGAGGAGCTGTAATGAGTGCGTGTCAACGTGTGTTAAAGCGGCGACTCCTGTTTTACATATTCACATAATGGTATTTATTGCGGACGAGTCTCCTGTTTCTAGTCCGAGTCCGGAAGTCGAAGGGATCCGGATGATTTAGGCGTGAAAATACGGAAACATTTAACAAAAAAGGGAAATTTAGTCAAACGCTCCAGTTCTTCCTCATTATTGAATTCAGTGTTGATCACCACCACCATGTGTTTCCCCTCATTAAAATGGATATTTAAAAAGATCAGTGCTTTATTAAATGAGCTGTCTCCTCAGTAATAAAAACTCTGTAATGTTTGAGGTGTTTGTCTGGTTTTTTTTATCATCACGACGTATTAAAGGAGTCAAACTGTGGTTATAGTTGTAAAGAACTTACATCCCATATGATTAACAAGAAATACTGCACCTTTCGGAATAAATAAGACTTTGAAAGATATGTTATAGTAAACCATACTCATATTCTGTCCTAAGTAGAAGAAAATGGAGTAAAATATTCAAATTACTCAAAGTATTTGGGTTTTAAGTCAGATTTTACTTTGGTTGTAAATACATTTACAGAATTTCTCCCTCCTGCTAAATATACTTATTTTTCCTCATTTATCAAGTAATTATTAAGTATTAAAAATATGTAAATTGGTTGGTTGATGATGGGAAAAGGAGATCCTTGTTAACCAAAATGCTTTTAATATTTGTCTCATTTATAAAGTATTTAAACTCTGCATTATTTTACTGATGAGGTTAAAAAAGACAAGAGCTTTAACTTTACCTAAATGCACATATTTTGTCTCATTCTGTAGTGGGAGAAAAAAAAGAAGAGAACCTGTTAATTGTGTTTAATTTATAAAGTATTTAAAATGATGAAGTTGTGATTTATCAAACGTATACCTCTTTAAAATCGCTGCTTTACCTGTAAAAATGCTAATTTACACACAAATCTGCTCTTCTCGCTGTGAACTGAGTCGCCTTGGTTTGTCATTTTTAAAAAGTGGATCCCCAGAAAACAAGTCTGCCTTAGAGAAACATTCTTACTACACTTATTAGCTGAGGAAAGATAATTACTTATTGCCTAAAAAACACAGAACTGTTGGTGGAGCGGTTGTAAGTATACAATCTTTGGTAAGTTTGTTTCTTATACTGTATTTGTAATTTTTCCTTTGTAATCTGCAACATTAAGAGGTTTAATATTATTTTTTTTCAGTTATTACTGTATGAATGAACGCTGAATACAGAGATGTGGAGGGAATTCCTTGTTATAGACAACCTCCACCCTCCTCAAGACCTGAACTAAAACATGTTTAATGCTTTAAAATCTTTAAATCCATTTTAAAAAATGACTGAATATCAGTTTGAAAGTCGCTGAAATTAAGGTGAAATAGTCTCTTAATTTAACACATTTTAAAACCCTCGCTGCTGCAGCAAAGCAGAAGAGAAGAGATTTAGTCGCGAACATATCACCGCATTAATTATGTCCTTCAGACCTACCGTATACATCTTTTTATTCATGCATTGGTTGAAAGAAACTGTTAATATCTAAAAACATCTTGGGTACAAACTGGAGAAAAGTCACACACTTTTTGAATTCTTTCTTGAATTGATAAAGAAAAAACAAAAGCAACAACTTTAAACTTGCAATCATTTATTTGAATAGAAGAACAAACCAGATGGCCACTCCTGTTACTTGCATATTACATCTTTTATTCATCGATGCCTCAACCCCAGCATTAAGATGTATTCAACGCTACAACTGTAAAGATCTACTTAACGTCCCCTTTTAACAGGTCGGTTTCGCCCCTCAGGTTGTTTTATTATTGCATTAGTTCTACATGAGGAATGGAATAAATCCAGAAATGTGACATATTGGTTTAAGAAAAGGCTCGTATGAAAACATTTCACACACAATGCTACTGTTAGAGGTTGCAGGTGGGGGGGGGGGGGGTCAAATCTTGATGTATTACACACAGTGGGAACCTGAACCTTACTGTACATATCACTGGGTTCTTTGTATTAACACTGATGAGACTCTCGTGTTATTCAAATCAAGTTTAAAAACGGGGAATCAAAAGAATCCTGGATTTCAATAATATACTGAATATTTTGGAAACTTTAAAGAATTTTAAACACTTTTTTATCGAACAGCCACAAAGACGTGTCCGGAGAGGATGGGTAACATTTGGTACAACAGCCAGGTCTCGATATTTAGCATCTTTTTTTTTTAATTAAACCTGCTACAGAAGTAAGTAAAACATTAAATTCAGAGCTTAAAAGGCATAGCTCGACATTTTGGGAAACACTTTTTCCACTTTCTTGCGTTACGTTAGACGAGAACACCGACACCGCTCTCATATCCGCTGTTTGGATCGAAAGCTTACAGGTAGCTTAGCTTAGCATAAAGACTGGAAACAGGGGGAAACAGCTAGCATGTCCAAAAGTTTAAAACAAATCCACCCACAAACACGAGGTATAACGTTAAGAAGTGAGCTTTAAAGGTGCTGATAGGTGATGTTTCCACTCTTTATGCTAAGCTTAGATAACCCTCTTGTAGCCGTAGATTTGTTATTTAACAGAAATAGACGAGCGGTCTCGATCTTCTCATCTAAATCTTGGCAAGAAAGCACATTTTCCAAACCTATTCCTTAGAGACGGAGCCCAAAGATTCCCCAAACATAACGATACCAAACTCATAATAACAAAAAATCTATTATAATTTAGATATTAGCAATAATACAAACAGCACCTGTAAGAAGAGGAAGTGCTATACAACAAAATAAAAGGGAATGATGTGATTAAGAGCCAGTACACTTTGATTCATTATTCTTGTACTGAGCAAATGGACTCATACAATGATGTAATGTTATTAATGTATTATAGCCTGACTGTGTTTAACTTCAAAAATGTATTTAAAGGTTAAGTGATGTTTTTAAAATGTTCGTACCAACAATAAATCCCACGAAAACACCAAAACCAACAGTGAATGTATCTTAATAAGTGTTATTGTTTAAAGGCCTGTAGTTTATTTATACTAGAGCACCAAATGTGGATTAATCTGCCGCTGAAAACAGTCCCGAACAAATGTTTTCCTCCTGTTACAGTAACGTTATTTACACCTTCAGTAGGAACCAGTGAGCTGAGGAGGTCGGACAGTATCGACTAACTATCGTTGGTTTTGGTATTTTCATGGGATTTGTTGACGGTAATAAAAATATAGAATATGACTTTATGCTTTAAAACAGATGTATTATTCTGATTTCCAGGAGAGGAGGACTCAACTGTGTCCACTGCTGCTCTGCATGTGGCCATTTTGTTGATTTGACCAAAGCAGTGTGATTATTAAAGCTAAAATACTGCTAATATTTAAAGAGAGATGCCACTGTGAATTGGAAATGTGTCGTATGTACTTACCAATACCAATTAGCTAAAAGAAATATAATAATAATGTCTCAGTGATTTTCTAGGATCAAACATAAAATCAGGATAAATAAGATAAATGGGAGAAACTGCCAGAACTCTGAGGTAAATTTGACATTCTGGTTACAGTTCACAGGAAACGCAGCTACTAAAATATAAAGTAAAATATATAAATAATAAAAAAAGACCTGTAGGCGGTAACATACTCTCACATGGAACATCTGGTTGTGAACAATGTGACAAAGTTTTGTGAGTGGGAAGAACAGATGTGTAGAAAACCTGCAAAAGATCCACAATATACAGTAGGAGTGTAACGGTTCACCAAACCCACGGACGCCGGTCGCCACTGGACGCCGGTCGGAGAGAGGCAGGTGTGTGTGTGTGTGTTGGGAGGTTGTGTTAATTTTAGACCAGTTTTGGAACCAATGTTCCTCCGATAAAAAGCTAATCTGGCCTCTCCTCATCCCTCCAATCCCACAATGACGAAGCCGAGGGCTGTAATGCACTTTTTGTCTTTTAAAATAACATTTTCAGGACCGTTTTCCTGACAATACAGGAGCATGTGTTTGCTCAGATCGCCCTCCACGGGTAATCAAAGTCGAAGCAGAAGCTTTCCAGTGGCGAAGTCTGTTTTACATCCCGTGAAAAGGCCGAAAGAACAAATCCTCTCCCCAAAAAAAGAAGGCCCAGTGGAAATGGTGCAGACGGTCATATAGACGCTTTACATGCCGCCAACACGAGGCCTAATAAATGATCAAAAAAAAATTTTTTTGTTCTTCCTGTTGTTAATAAAATCACAGCGGATGCAAATTGTAGCGTTTAACGAACACTTTGTAGGAGTAAAGATGACCTTTGAAATCAGCCCACCAAAACCGATCTCCGAGCTAGCAAACAGAGTGTCAGTCAGTGAAGCTCTGACAAGTACGAGAGGTAAATTATACAAACTAATGATATTTACCTAGCAAACACTGTCCTGTATTGTCAGGAAAACGTCCTGGAAAATGCTTTATTTAAAAGACACAAAGTCATTACAGCCTCCCGGTCGTATTGTGGATTGGAGGAGAGGAGAGGCAGATTAGCTTTTTATCGGAGGGGAAAAAAATTGTCCAAAAACCTGTCTAAAATTAACACAAACCTGCCAGAAACACCCAATATTAAAAAGTAACAGGTTCATCTGCCTTTCCCCTCATCCCCAAACCAGAATCTTTTTTACAGCTGCCAGGCTATAGCGCTCAAGATACAAGAGTGCATAATAACAGTCTCATCCTAACTGAACAACAGAGAACAAGTATATTCTCCCATATATATATATATATGTCCGCCGGCGTACGTTTAATGTTTATGCATGCCACACACACTCCACCTCTCCTGCTCTCACACACACCCACACACACGCGGCGACATTTTGGGAAATATACTTGTTCTCTTTTGTTCGAGTTAGATGAGAACTTTATTATCACTCTTGTATCTGACGCTATAGCCAGCAGGCTGTAAAAAAGACTGGGGATGAGGGGAAGCAGATAACCTGTACTTTTTTAATTTTATTTGGGGTTTTTGGGAGGTTTGTGTTAATTTTAGACAGTTTTGGACAATGTTTCCCCTCCGATAAAAAGCTAATCTGCCTCTCCTCTCCTCCAATCACAATACGACCGAGGCTGTAATGACTTGTGTCTTTTAAATAAAGCATTTTCCAGGACGTTTTCCTGACAATACAGGACAGTGTTTGCTCATAAATAGTCATAGTTTAGTATAATTTACCTCTCGTAGGTTGTCAGAGTCACTGACTGACACTCTGTGCTAGCTCGGTTTTGTGGCTGTTTCAAAGTCATCTTATCTCCTACAAAGTGTTCGTTAAACGTACAATTTGCATCGCTGTGCATTTATTAACAACAGGAAGAACAAATTTGATCATTTATAGGCTGTCTGCATGTAGAACGTCTATATGACCGTCTGCACCATTTCCACTGGGCCTCTTTTGAGAGATTTGTTCTTGGCTACGGATAAATCAGACTTCGCACTGAAAGGTCTGCTTCGACTCTACGAGGGCGATCTGAGTGAGGAGCTAAAATACTATTAAAACTTACAGGACATCAGCATTTTGTCCAGGATATTTGGTGATTTTAATCAATTCCCAGGTGTTTCCATAACTGGAAAACTGGTCTCCAATTGTCTAGGTTTTCCAGGTTTTCTAATTCAAATGATTATTCGTTTATCGCTTTGAGATAAAACTCTTGGAAAAGTTCCTAGAAATGAAAACTTTTTACATTAAATGTACATAATATTTTATCAGTGGTTTTGTGTTTGCTCAAACTTATTCTAGTTTTCTGTCTCATAATTCAGCCACCGAATAAAAGATCTCTGATTAGCTTTGATATTTAACGTAGAGACGTGAGAGTGAATCAATCTTCTCATCTAACTGTAAGAAAGTGGAAAAAAAAAAAACTATTTCCCAAAAGGTCAAACTGTTCCTTTAAACCAGCCTTTGATTTGCAACAGCGAGCCAATAAATATATTTACATAGTGCAGTAATATAGACAGTGTCGTGAATTTATATGGAAGTGAAATTAAAAAGGGAGAATGAGCTGGGAACTGAGCAGTCGAGGTCACAGAGAACCTGAAACTGTATTTCTATCAACAAACACATGTTGTATTCAAACTGACATAACAGGATATACTGTAGGTATCTGCTTTTGTCTTATTCGAACGTTTACTACTTGATCATTCAAACGAACTGCGTGTCTTAAATATTAAAAAATACAATATAGGCTAAAAACAAAAAATAAAACAAAAAGCATGAAAACAAGAGGAAGATTATTCATTTGACAAACGTCTGTATTCCTATGTCATCCTTTAAGTCTGTATGTTCAACACTACTTTATTTTACACTTCCAAAAGTAAAATACTTTTTGTAATTAAGACTCAAAAATGCCAACTGAACCATGAGTTTGGTAAACTATTACACTTCCACTAAACAATAGTAGATTGTGTGAGTTTTGATGGCTGAAATCAAATTCCACTTGAACAGAACATATATGTTTATATATGTGTATATATTATTTTAAAAAGGGTTTGTAATTTGCATCTCATAGTTCTTGCTGATCCAAAAAAAGGGCTCTGGGGCCATAAATATAAGTATTGCTAACTACTAATTAAGAAAAAGCAGTATAAAAATGCAGAGCATTAACTACCACCTGCATGCTGTAGAAGCATTGGTCTATAGGTAATACAAAATGTACAAAATAAATGTGCTGCAAAACAACCAGAATGTTTCATATACACATAAATAAAAAGTACAGATGTCATCTGACAAGGCAGATGGACCCTTGATTTAAATGTGATAAGTACCCCGTTAACTTCCCGCTCTCCTCTCGAACACTTAACCCTCCCTCCCACTTCCTCAGTATCGGAACAAAAAGGGAACACATTCTGTTTCTAAGGCATTTTGTACACTAGCTAATGAGAAACACAAGTGTTACTGTTACGTTTCCCTTTTCCTTTTTTTGTTTTGTTTCCTCCGATCAGTATTTGAGCCACGGGTGAGCTGCGATGGAGGCTTTGCTGCGGTCTCCATAGTCATAGAGCAACTCCTCGCCCTCGTCAATGTCTCGAGAGGCAACGAGGATGAGGTGAGGGACCCCGTTGATGTCGTGGAGTTTGGTTTGGCAGTTTCCATTTTTACTGTGATTTATCAACCTACCCATTCGACCGGTCTCTTTTGTGGCGTCCACACTGCGGGAACAACAAAAAACAAATTCACGTCAGTTTTTAGACTACAGAAAAATAGAAAAAAAACATCAATCAATTAATTTAAAAGACTGAAACTTTAAAGTTCAATGTATTTACTTTTGGTAATTGTAGTTTTCATGGTTAGTTCACAACCCCGAGTTGGATTTAAACACACAACAAGAGCTTTACAGTAAAGGATGCAGGGTAATTTAATTTCATTGATATCAGCCTCACTGTTCACTGTTTACTCAGAGCTATAGAAAAGTCACTGCTAATGCTAATCCAACGTTTCCTACCGCTGCCGCTTCACAATAAAAGCATTTTGTGTGTCACTGAGTGGCTTTTATTGTGAAGCAGTCACAGGAAACATAATGAATTGAAGCTAATAGCAACAGTTCGTCACAACTGCGTCCATAAAGTACCAACTCTACTGCGTCCTACTGTGGTTCACAAAACTACTCGCATCAGTGACTTCATTACGTTTGTTTGGCTGCACTGTAATCAGATATTTGCTGCTCAAGGAGAGTTTAAACTGTACTTGCTGATACCACGGTAACAAGGGATGTAGCCCAAATCAATCACTTTAAGCAGTAGCCAGTGTTGTTGTGGTTAAATTAGTCATTAGTCGGTGCAGGTCATCTTTTACATTGTCAATAAAGCCAAGAAAATAACACAAATGATTCATTTACAACTGATTTTATGCTCTTTTTTTTTTTAAATATTAACAACTAGCTGCTGTAAATATAAGAACATAAGAAGCTTTTTGTGATGCTTTTACTGCTTATTTCTTATTTGTGAGGTTTTGTAACCATCAGACTGACAGAATTCTTTGATATGAACGATTAAAATCTAAGAATAGAAGCCAACTATCCACTTTGTTGTGCAACCAGTCGGCTTTAACACAGTATATTCTCCAGTAATACACCGGCAGTACGTTTGAATGTTGTGGTAATTCATAAACTAAAGTGGTCGATCGTACCAGTAAGTTTTGCAGAGGTACTGGAAGTAGTACATGTAGCAGCCAGTGGCGGGGTTCAGAGCGTATTCGGCCTCCCTCTTTTTGGCGTCGGTGATCTGCAGCAGGTCTCCGTGGTACTCCACCACATACTCGCCTTTCCGGAAACACCGAGTGGCAAACACCGCTCTCCCCTTTCCTTCTATCTGCTGCACCTACAAAAAGGTTTTCTGTCAGGACGCAACAGCTGGAAAAACATTTTAGCCTATTTGCATTTATTTTGAACATTTGAATATTACAACACTTACAAAACAACAAGAATAAAGCTACCATATTTTGTGATTCTCCTTTTATCTTATTTAAGTTCTTTCCTCTCCACATTTGGTTTCTTTTTGTCTCCATTTCAATCCATTTTAGTTTTATTTAATCAAAGGGTGCACGATTTCTGAGTATGAGCTCAGATAATTAAAAATAATTACTATATAGGGATCCTACATGTTTACAGAGCATCTTCACCCTCAAAAAACAGCATAAACAGTCTTAGAACAGTTCAAATACATCTGGCCGGATAAATCAAACCTTATGTGGACAGCCGTATTTATGAATCCCTATCACATAAATACATTAGATTGTTGTTAACGTCACATGTTAATTGCTACTGGAGATATTAAAGATTTTATCCAAACATAATGAGTTTAAAGACACATACAGGTATGTTGAACTTTAAATAGACAAAGCCCTCCTTCAGTTTGACTCTTTGATGGTAATTGTGGTCAAACCTACTGAAACCTACTTAATTGAACTGAATTTCCTATAAATAAAACACACCTGCTGCATCATTCAGACTAAACAAATGAGGTACAGAAGCTGCGATGTGCAGAAAACTCAACGTACCTCCATTCCTTCCTCTATTCCCTTTGTGATGAGATCGTCTATGTGTTTCTTTTCTTCACACTGGTGACACAGAAAGGAAACATGAGATGGTATTATACCCATTATGACATTCAGTGACAGCAGTAACTCTTCACAGATGATCCTTCCTGTAACGTGAGGTTTAGGTGAAGTAAGGTTGTGGTTGGAGACAGGATGAGTTGAGGTTAGGTATCACAGAAGATGACAACTATGTCTCTGTGGTTCGCAGGGAAAAGCTTTTTAGTTAAACGTACTACGAGGAGGTTACGAAACAGTCTCAGTTTAATGCTGATGCCTCTTTATGACCTACATAAACAAACAAAGACCTTCAGAGAGAAGATTGGCTGTTTCTTGAGGCTACAAACAACCAAGCTGCAATCTCTGTAGCTGGCAAATAAAGCGAATATGAAGTAACAAAACTGCAGTTCCTCTAACGACCACTAGATGCTGGCTCCAGCCGAATTTACAGCAGATATAAACATGTTTACAGCCTCGTACAAAAACTGTTTTGGTCTCTGTAGCCAATTGACCTGTTCATGACAACTGTACAGGGGGTGAAGTTTATATAACTCACCCATTTAAATTAAATAAAGGTTTAAATAAAGGCTTAATTCGGCCTCAGCTCTGCATTTTTTGATTAGCAGGCAGCCGGCGGAGTCAGTAGTGAGAGCTGAACACACTGAGCTTCATAAAGGCTCTGCACAGAGACTACGTCTATTTTTAATCACACTGCAAACAACTCATAACTCAGCACTTCTTTAACGTAACTCAGTATTTTCCAGAAAGAATATTGTCTTATATTCATGCCAAATCACAAATATCTGGTCCAACTATATATTTTTATTATCTATCCCACCCAATAAGATAATCCTGACAATATAATATATAATATGTAATAATTTAATCTTACCTTAAGTTCTGTTTTACTCTTTCTGGAGCTTCGTCTTATTGGATAGTAGTCAGTAACTTTTCGGTTTTGGGAGTTTTTCCCTCCTGCACTGTAGCGGAGAAAGAAAACACAACTATAACAAATAAACAAACAACTATCGCGGCGACATTTCTTCCTCGGCGGCGTTTAGAAACCAACAGTGAGGACGTGCGCGTACATTCTTAGCGTGGATTTCTTTCCTTTGACCTTGAGGCGGACTCCTCTCCTCTGGTGGCCGTGGAGAGCGCTGCCGTTGTTGTTGGCGTGGAGCGGAGTGTGAGATAAGCTGTTGCTGCGGGGCATGGCGAGCTCGGTCGGGGAACGGAGGCAGGTCTGAGTGCGGTAGCGCTGTTCATCTGACCAGCAGGGTAAACACTGGCTGTAGCTGCTCTCCATCTCCGGGAAATCAGTCTGTGAGTCTTTTGGTGTGGCGCTGATGATATTTGTTCTCCTGCCTGGGAGGGAAAGAGTGGATGAAAAAGTGTATTATCCTGCTGTTCCTAGTTCTTCTCACCGCCTTTCTGTTACATAATGACACCGAAAAATAAACATAAATAGGTGCGTTTGTTCTCTTGCAGAGTGTTAACACAGTAAAACCTCTCTCCTCAGCTGGAGATCAATCTGTAAACCTGCAGCCAAGATACTTACCCTCTCCCTGCCTCTGGGCATCATTCTGCTGGCAGCATATCGGAGAGCACCTCCCCTCCTGTGTCAGCTGGATCGTCTTTTCATCGTGAACTGGAGATATGGACTTGGTGCAGCTTAAGACAGTGACTGAATGGCTATTGCATACAATCTCCTGTGAATGCAGAGAGAGAGAGAAAACGGATTTAGTCTCAATCCTGTCGTGTGTATTGTTATCGACGCTCCGCTGTATTATGAATTAACACATAATTAACATAGTGAAAGAGTGTGAAACCTGACAAAACATAGCATAAATTAAATCCATTAAGAAAGACATCAGACACACGGATAAAACAAACTAAAACCCAGCAACTAAAACCCAAATATATTCACTTTACTATCACATATGACAAAGAAAAGCAGCAAATCCTCACATTGAGAGGTTTTCTGGAGCATTTGCTTGAAATTTGACTGAAACGAAACCCAAAATGGTCGTCTATTAAATTTCTGTCGATCTTTAAATCAGTTGTTCGAGCTCTCTATCACACATACAAACACAAATGTGTTAAAGCTGCTCCAGGTTGGATTTATAAATGTTTCTAGAGGAAGGAATCGTGTTTGTTATACCTCGAGGTTACACACAATACTGTACGGTGAGTGTAATGAAAACGGTGAACTCTACAAGGCTTCCTTTAAGGAGCAGCGGTAACTTCACCTTCAGTCATAAAGCCTGTTCCCACTGACTGACTCAACAGGCTGATTAAAAACTCATATACAATTACTTTCCCTCTATTATCAAACACTTCGTGAAACCATAACTAGACTTTAAATAACACACATAAAACACGTCCCTGTAGTTAGACGCAGCCCTTAACTGTTATTTAATCTAACCTTTCATATACAATTCAAATAAAAATGCAGTTATATTCTATTCGTTTGGTGCAAAATAATGTCAGAAGGTCAAAGGTTCCTGCAAATGTGTGAAAAAAGAGAGAGAGCAGGTTTCAGACCTTCATTTGTTGTTTGGCTGCGAACGACAAAGATGATGTAAAAATGTACAGAAACTCGCTGTTTGTGGTTTCTGTTAAAGATGATGTTAGGAACAGAAATACTTTAATAATATTGTGCTTTCTTGTAGTACTTGAACACTGAAGAGGCCCTCCTATGAGATACAGATATATATGATATAAGATATATTTCCTAGGAGGTGATGATACCAGCAGTCCCAACCTGGGGGTCTCCAAAGATTAACGGGGGTCACGAGGCCAACTTGGTTTTATGGAGTGTAAGAGAACTTTTAAAATATACTCAATAGGTCGATATCTCAGCGTTTCATTCATTCATTCAACTAAATTACATTATTTATTTAATATAAAACTCTGAAGACCTGAACACAATCTACATTCACAGAGAATTCAGCCTTAAAAACAACCAAAGAGCTGATTGAATCTGCTCAAAATTCATCCAAATCTCGTTTTACACAAACTTCCTGCAGTTACTGAGTTCACTGTTTATCAGCTGTTACTGTTATACATTGAATATAATACGAAATATCTATAAAATATGTTACTTAAGGGGTCGGCCGTTAACTCAATGATAGAAAAGGGTTGGAAACGACTTTTCTAAGGTAACAAAAACACAACAATTCTTCTTTTAGGGTGATTATATGTTAATAAAAACACCATATTCCTCAAATAGATGCTCCTACATGTTTCACACTGGGCCTTCGCATTAAGGCCGCACAATTAATCGAAATATTATCAAAATCGATAATAAGAGCTTTAACATTTTGATTAAAGGTCAAATGTGTGACAAAGCAGTATTATAATGACGTACTGGAGTGCTGCAGAGGTGCAGATTAAAGAAAACATGTTTGTTTGCTACAGACCTCCCAAAAAAATGTCACATAATCATGATTTTAATAGTTTTTTTGGGTGAAAATTCAGAAAATATCCTTCCCACATAATCTAGAATCCCAACATGTGTCAAATGAATCCCAACATGGTGCTTTTACCCTATTTTACATGTAAAAATCTACATTTTCTTCCTCAGAAATGTAATTAGACATACTCAAGTGAAGTACAAGAGCCTTAAAAATAATATATACTTTGTAGTTTAGCACAGGACTACATGCATTTCCTTCCAGCGGTGTGGGTGGGGCCCTGAGGAGGGAACCACGCTGGCTCCACACCCACATCCATCAGTCCATCAGCCCTTTGCACAGCCAGTGGAGGCCTCAGTGCCTCATTATCTGCAGGTCAAACCCATCCAACGTGACAGAAACACCAGAATACACTGCAAACTGCTGCTTTAAAACACTTATATCTCACAGCACCATAAACCCTCCTCTTCCCCTCTGCTAGCACATGTCACCTGCTACAACAACAACAACAACAACAAAAACCCCTCTTCATTTAACTGTAATAACACCAATTTACAGTATAAACAAGGATTAATTACAACGTTACACACACACACACACACACACAGGTTAATCCCACCCTGACAGAGGGGGAGTTAACCCACTTATTCCAGCTCGTTTTACGATATTTAACCTGTGTTTTGTGTTTTTTTGGAGATGCACAAACAAACAAACTTACCTCGCTCATGTCCGACTTGTGTTCGAGGCTCGTCGCTCGGCTCGAAGCCTCCCGTTGTTGTTTTTGTTTTCCAGGGTAACGAATAAATTAAGTTTCCTCCAGCCAGTTGAGAGATTAACGTCGTACGGCAGTGTGTGTGTGTGTGTGTGTGTGTACGTGTGTGTGTGTGTCCTGTTGTTGTTTTTAAACTGCCAGCAGATCAACCGATGCAGCCTCCACAGCTCCCGGTCGCCATTTCTCTTCATGTTACGAAAAAAAAAAAAAGAAAAAAGGAGACGAAGCATTGTCGCCCCCTTCAGGCGGACGGTGGTACTGCGCGTGTTTTTAACCCACTTTAAATTAGTTTAACATCTTTTTATTATATTTATATAGTTATTATATTTATGTGTGTTGGGATATTTACTCAAACAATAATAATTAATACTTTATTAGTCCTTTTTTTAAGTTATATCATTATTACCAACCCTGTATATACAGTATGCGTTACATTAATAGATAAACTTTATTAATTGGGTCGTCATAGCAGCCAGGTACATTTAAATACAGTAAAATACAACAATAGAATGAAATACTTAGATAGAAAAGATAAAAAAGATAAATAGATAGGTAAGGTGCAAAGAAGTTGTAGTTGCAAGAATAGTACTAATGATATGATGGTAGTGTTATTGTTAATAACACTATACGAGATACAATAAATAATATATTATGAATATAAATATGTAAATAGAAATGTGAAAAAAATAAGAATATTGTATATATATGATATATATATATATTTCTTTTACCAATATAATACTCACAAAGAATACTTCTGCACTAAACAAGTGTGCCATGGTGTTTAAACCCAGTAAAACACACTACAAAACATAAATTACCCCAATAATTGTCTTCAATTCACAAATCACAAAT